ATATCTATAGCACATAATAGTAATAATAATAATAATAATAATAATGATAATTAAAAAGTATAAAAAATTTTCTGGTTTGTTGAATGTTGAAACGATGATCATAATATAAAAATCAAATAATCATTTCCGGACTCAATTAAACAATCAAAGCTCATGTTTTTTTAATTTTAATTCAAATCAAAATAATAACAACAACAATAACAACAACAACAACAACAAAAAAAACAAAAAAACAAACACGAACGATTAAAACAACAAACAACAGAGTAAATAATAATAATAATAATAACAACACACAATATTTTTTTTTAAACTTAATCCAAATAAACGATGATATTGTGAAGTAGTAATATAAAGTTATCGGTTGTCGACTTTTGCACAAACAACAACAACAATAATAATAATAATATTTAATCTCCCTTCGTTAAAATCGTTTGTATAAATATATAATAATAATAATAATAATAATAATAACGATCTATGAATAATAAATTAGTTAGAAAATTGAACTGAATGAAAAAAAAAAAAAAAAAAAAAACAAAATGTCGTCGTCCTCGTTCTCGTCGTCGTCGTCGTCGTCACCACCACAAATTTTTTAAAAACTTAATTATTATTATTATTATTATTATTATTATTATTATTATTATTATTGTTGTTGTTGTTTTTTTTTATTACGTTCGTTACGAATAATATATTCGATAGATTTTCTTAAAATAGAAAACTAATCGATTCTATTTATAGAAAATGAAAAAAAAAAGAAAAAGAAAAAAAATCAATTCAGATTTTCGAATAAATAAATAAATAAATAAAAAAGAGGGAAATAATAATAATAATAATAATAATAATAATAATAATAATGATAATGATAATAAAATATATGTTTTTATTACCAACAGGTGTAAAAATATTTAATGGAAATATATATTTTAGGTTATTAATATTTTAACTAATTGTTTTTTTTTCTTTTTTTTTCAGGTAGTAGCAAATTGTCGTGCGCGTAGATAAAGAAAAAAAAAGAAAAAAAATTTTTTTTTTTTTTGTTTTAAAAAATAGATATTAACACTTAATTTAATAAATATCGTAGATGTGAATTTTGTTGGCAACATTGATTTTTTCATTCTTTCTATTACCACTTTCCCAACTCGATGATCATTCATCACACCGACAAACAACAAAAAGAATGAGTAAAATTCAAATCGACACGTACGTTCCGTTATAAAAAAAAATAAAAAAAAATTCGATGAGTGATAATTGAGTACGAAAAAAAAAAAAAAAAAAACTAACAAACAACAAACAGCATACGAAATAACTGTCGTGGACGGACCGTAGTCTTATGGGAATCATATTATGATGAGGAATCAATAAAAATCAAATTGTTTTCCTTTTAAAAACTATTTTCAAAGTCGTAAAAAAAAAAAAAAGAGTTTAGAGGGTTTCTCACGTAAAAAACAACTCGTACAACAAACAAACAAACAAACAAAAAAGGTTATATTGCATTTTTTATTTAAACGCAAATGGGAAAAAAAAAAAAACTATTTTATATACCTTATATACTTTTTTACTTACCCTCAATATATAAGAGAACCCTAAGGTGTATTTTAAAAAATATAAATTTTGCCAGAACATAAAAAAATCAAAAGGGGGGCCAAAAAATAAATAATTTTCGCCCGGTGAAAATTTTTGCCAGAAAAAAAAAAAAAAAATTGCTGTCGTTTTTTTTTATTATTAGTCAAAAAAAAAAAAAAAAAATCTAATAGGAATGTCAAAGAATGTGCTTTCCCACAAACATGTCAATTTTTTTTTTTTTTTTTTAAAACTCCTATAATTTTATGTCACCTTGGCTTATAACAAATCTAAAGTGTCATGGCGTATGGTTTGTGTCTTTCACAAATAAAAATTATATATGCCTAGATGTGTGCGTGCGTGTGCGTGTGAGATGTTGACGACCGGATCAGAAGAAGAAGAAAAAAAAAAAAAAAAAGACAAAGTCGGAAGAATGAGAGAGTGAGAGAGAGATAGAGAGAGAGGAGAGAAAGCTGTCGTCGTTAAGGGGTTGACAAAATTAGGCTTTGGATATGTGCCAGAATAGTGCCACAGCTAAAACCGTGGGCCACGAATAAAAACTATAAAACTGCCAAGAAAAGAATAACCTTTCAACTCGTCGTTTTTTTTTTTTTTTTTTAAATATTTTCTTTTTTTCTTATACAATTCGAAAGTATTCCATTTTTTTTTTTTTAGACTCACTAAAGTCCCGTTTTAAAAAAAAAAATCATCCCTTTTTCATATCAAAACTACCCCCTAGTAAAAAAAAAAAAAAGGCATAAAGGATTTAACCCCCCGTATTTAAATCGAACAAAAAAAAAAAAAACTCCTACACAACAACAAACAGGAAACAGTTTATGGAACCATTGCAATTTCGTATATATATATAAACCCCTTCACCCTTGAAATTAAATTTGCCCCCTTTTTTTTTTCCTTTTTCTTTTACTCTTGTCACTAACGAATAACAAAAAAAAAAAAAAATTCTTGTCAGTCAGTCGTGTGATGTCTGTAGAAAAAGTTATCTGACGAATAATAAAATAAATTTATTTTTCAAAAAAAAAAAAAAAAAAAAGGCGTTTGCTATGGATACTAAAAACACAAGGACGTCGTGGCAGCAACAACAGCAGCAGCGTACATAAAAATTATGTACAAGGCTAATTGCCTTTACTTTTTTAAAAATATACATACACCTAAAGAATCGATTGCGGGTTCGTATGCGTGTGAATACATTAACATAAATTTTTTGACGCATTGATGACATTTGAAAAAAAAAAAAGGTTTTCAATTATATAGAAATTTAAACAATCGTAAGGTATTCATGCGTTTTGAATAATATTCGGATTCGAACGGACTGACAGATGAACGTGTATAACTAAATTCTTTTATTCTCATTCGTTTATTACATAAAAAAAAAAAAAAAAAACTACTACTACCACCACCACCCCTACTACCCCTTGTACCGGTAGTACAAGCGTTTTCGTGGCGGTGGTGAAAATCGTGCGAGTCTTTATTTCATTATGTTTAGTTGTTAACTTCCTGCCACAATTTTGTCGATGAATAAAACATTCGGGATAATATAATAATGGAACGGATGATTTTTTTTTCTCCCTCTCTCTCTCTCTCTCTCTCTCTCTTTTTCTAACAACAATCTACACCCTATGTATATGTATACACTGTTTCCTTCGCAACGGATGGTTTAATTAATCCCTTCGTCCAATCAAACATCTGCCCTGGAATTTTCTACAGTGTACCCTTCCACACACACACACACACGCAGCTTGCTGGATTTTTTTTTTAAAACGCCTTTTTCAAATTCTCACCACCGCTATCATCATCATCATCACCGTCGATGAATCGTAATAAAATCAATAATAAATAATCGATGAGAAAACAAATCAACGTAAAGAATTTTCGGTCGAGAACCGAAAAAAAAAACTTAGTAATTAAAATCTATTCATTAGAATTACGCCGCGGCAACGTAGTAATAATAATAATAATAATGATAATACCTTAACTGTGCCTAATGTGATACGAACAACCATAATTCATGTATTCATTTCACATAATTTATGAACCCGAAACTATGGCACTCCTATTTAGGTGTCATAACAATACCTAACAAACTCCAACAGATTTTTTTTTTTTTTTTCATTTGTTTGTTTGTTGTTGTCGTTGTTAGCGTCGAGGCGTTTTTTTTAAACGTTAAAACTTTTGCGTTTTTTAAATTTTTTTTCGAAATCGTTTGTATTCATCGTTGAAACGGATAACTATGGCAACGATGATCATCAATTCCGTTAAAAAAATTTTTTGGAAAAAGATACAAAGAATAAAAAAAAATAAAAAATTTAAAACGAAAAACAAGGAAAAGGAGGTACCGAACAAAAGGATAAAGCAAAACCGAAAAAAAAAAACAACAACGACAACCACAACAACAAACACACACACACAAAAAAAAAAAAAAACATTTTTTTCCTATATTCGCTTTTCCTTGTTTCAAATTTAAAAAAAAAAAAAAAACTCATTTCCATTCGTTTGTACTTCATCTTAACCAGCAAAACCTTTTTTTATGTTTGTTTGTTCGTTTGTTTGTTTGTTTAAAAACAACAAAAAAAAAAAAAAAGAAAAATCCGATCGACAAAAGTAGCATAGTGTATTTAATAAAAAAAAAAAACCTACCACTACATTAAAAACATATTTTTCGCGTTTTTATTACGTTTTCGTAACAACAATAATAATAATAATGATAAGAATAATGATGATAATAATAATAATAATAATAATAATAATTTACCGATTCCGGTACGGTTTTTAAAAATCGTAATAAAAAAAAAACGAAAAAAAAAATTTATTTATTTATTTATTTAAATTCAAGATCATTATTATTATTATTATTACTTTTTTTTTATTCCATCGTTTTCTTTCTTTCTCTCTCTCTCGTTCCCGCCGAAAAACAAACATTAAAAAAAGGCGGTGATATTGAATTTCAAGTTAACTCGATGTCATTTAGTAATCGAAACCAGGATTTTGAATAGTAAATTACTTGTGTAATCGATATGATAGAACAATTTCAATGTTATACCGTAAATAACGAAAAAAAAAAAAGAAAGAAAAAGGAAAATTCCCTTTTTTTGCATAAAAAAAAAAAAAAAAAAAAAATGTTTTTTTTTTTTTTTTTTTTTTTTACGACTTTTGCCATGTAATTTCATACGGCGAATAATAATAATAATAATAAAATCCTTCAATATATATACATATAATCAAAACTCGTGATTATTGTGTGTTGATCGAATTAAAAATTTTATTTTTTTCCCCTCCTTTATCTTTTTTATAATATCATGACAGTAAAAACATAAAAAAAGATAAAAAATAAAAAAAGTAAAACAACATTCCGATTGAAACATAATATGTTTTAAGTAATTGATATTTAAATTCATTTGATAGAGATGTAAAAATTATGTTTATAAACGTTGATCGAACGAGAATAAAACGACAACCATTGCCTCCTTAACAATAATATAAGTTTTTAAACGTAATTAAAATCACTGACAGGTGAATATTTAATAAAAAAAAAAAAATAATAATAAGATGGCATTAACTTACCACATCAGGAGTGCTGGCACCATCCGTATGTGACGTTGAATCAGCATTGCTTCGCGTCCCTTCATTGCCATTTGTTGATCCACCTAATTCAAGAGGTTTCGCCGTTGGATCCCTCTCATCGATCACAAGATCTATAGGCATTTTGCCTTTCAAACAACTTATATATCTATGGCAAAAGTTATCACAGAGTTCGTGAACCTGTAAATAAACAAACAAAAGAGGTGATTAAACTCTAATAAAAAAATATTTATTGATAATATAAATATTGCAGAGACAGTAGTAGTCGACGTTATCGATAAAGGACCACGATGCGTATATGCATATAAAAAAAAAAAAAAAAAAAAAAAAAAAAGATGACGTCCAACAGAACAAGTCATTTGTTCTCGACTAAATGACAAGACTAAACTTAAATGAACTATAAATACAAAATAAAATAATATAAATCAATGTGGATAATGGGGGAGGGGGAAGTAAATTTTTCAAAATGTTTTTTTTTTTATTTATTTTATTTTTCGGTCAACCAAACCAGCCAAATTATTTGTGTGTGTGTGTATGCGTGAGTGCGTGGTAAAGCGCCCGCGTGTGTGTTTGATAATGAAGTAAAAAAAAAAAAAATATAAAAAGATGAATAAGAAGAACAAAAGGAAGGAATGGTTGAAAATTTTTTTTGAAAAAAAAAAAAAAAAAAAACTAAAGAATATACTAAAGTTTATGTTAAAATGTCAGCCGGCTTTTGTTCTCCTGCCAGGAAGTTAACAGGTTATCATTTAATCTGCGGGAGATACACTAGCCATTCTACAACTGTATAACTACTAATGGTAGCCATTATTGTCGCGTCAAAATTTTGTCACATTTTAAAATAAATCCTTTTTTTGTAAATTATATCATATGGATGAACTTATTTTCTACCCCCCTTCCCCTCCTCAACTATTACTACTAACTTTTTTGATTATATCTTTTTCATTATTACTATTATCATCATTTCAAATTGACATACATGTAAAAAAAAAAGAAATTTTTCAATGGGGTTAGGTTATATATAGAGTACCTGAAACCATAAATAACTTATTATTTGGTACACTTAATTTGTTTTCTTCTGCTTTATTGTTATGTCAAAATGATTGTAGTGTTGCAAACAATCTAATGAAATCTAATTACAATCCCCTAAATTGTTTAATGTTTCTCTATCATACATTAACACCATGTTCACATGTTTCATATACACTCACAACATAATCATATTTAGTTATATACATATATATAAAATCATACCTATACCTTTTGCATATTATTTACAGTGTGAAAAATAGAACCTGTTTTTCCAACACTGACACTTCCAAAACATATTCTTAACACAAAAAAAAAAAAATTTTAATTTTGTCATTTTCAATAAAGCATTTTTATAAATAATACAACAACAGTTTATTTTATGCACGATAACGTACTCTCGAAAACAAGGTTTTTTTCTCTTAGTAAACCTGTTACGGAATACCAATTTACTTATTATTATTATTAATAACAATAATAATTGTTTAGTTTTATTTTAAAATTTATTATTATAAAATTCTGACATCGGTGCAAAAGCCGCCATATTGGTTTCGCATTCTCGAATATTAATTTGAAAAAAAAATAAGAAAAAAAACAAACATTTTGCAACCGTGAATAATTACTTATTGAAAAATAAATTAAATACGATTATTTAAGATCTTAAACACACGCGCACACACCCCGCACACACTCACACGCGAAAAAAAACCACACATAATTTTAAAATTAAAACAATGCATTATACACCGGTAGAGTCACTGATTCATATGAAAATGCTTCAATTTCTGAACTGACACTTGTGACGTCATAAAATTTGATTGGTCAAACGAAATAAAGGAATTCACTGTAATCTGATTATCGTTTGAAAGCAAATGAAAAATGCTTACTCGGTATAATTTAATTTGATAAAGAGAGAGAGAGATAAAAAATAAAAAAAATGAATTTTAAAAAAATTAAAATTTCATATGTGTTTTTATTCTCTATGACAAAATAAAGGACACATGTCAAAACGTAACGATTTTTTTTTCGAATTTTTGAAATTTATATAGAAAATTTTATATAGAGACGATTACTAAATAAATGGTCGAAACAATTAATGAACAAATTAATTAAAAAAAAAAAAAAAATGAAATATATATTAAATGTAAAATTAAAATTGAAGTTTAAAACCGTGACAAAGTAAAAGAATGAAATTTTGCTGAGGACCCCCATGTGGTATTAAACGACAAGAATCAAAATGGAGACACGAGATAGAGAGAGAGAGAGAAATACTCATGATTAATAGTTTTAATCAAAGCCTCTCTTTGGTGGATTTCAAAATGATCTGACCCTTTCTACTCTCTCTCTTTCTCTCTCTATTTCAATTCTCTGACTTTTCTATCTTTTGTAAAGAAGAAAAAGAAGAAGAGAAAGAGGGGGGGGGAAAAAAAAGGTTTTTGTGCTTTGGATTTTCTCTACCACCAACACAAAAACCAACCATTATTTTATTATTATTATTATTTTTTTTTTTTAATCTTTCGCTTGGGATTTTTTTTTTTTTTGCTTTTTCCTTCTTTTTTTTTTTTTACTAGAAATAAAATAAATGTCGTGAAAACTTTTGTGTTGAAATGATGGCGGATTAACCTCAACACTGATGTCGGATTTTTCATTAAAAAAAAAAAAAAAATTCTCAATAACGTTAAATTTTTTTTTTTTTTAAATATAAAAATTCTTTTCCCCCATTTTACTTGGGAAAACTTTTTCGACAGCAAAAATTAAAATTAAAATTAAAATTGGAAGAAAAAAAAATGGAGCTTTTCAATTAAAAAAAAAAAAAAAGTGTTAAAAAAAAAGGGAATAAATGGTGGAAAAACTAACAAAACTGTCAGTTCATATTAAATTTTACAAATATTTTAAATAGTTCACGGGTTTGTAAGTTTTGATTTACATAAAAAAAAAAAAAAAAAGAGAGATGGAGAGAAAAGGAACAACCAACAAACAATCATCATCCCTTCGTAAAAATCCATAGAGAGAGAGAGAGAGAAAGAGAGAGAAAAAGAGGAAACAAAATGAAACGCGGGGTTGACGTTATTCGCTTTTGTTGGAATTTGAAACATTCCCAATGTTTTCTCGAAAATTAAAATGAAGAATGTTGTTGAGAGATAATGATAATTTTAAAAAAGAGAGATAGATATATAGATAGATAAATGAAAAATAAAAAAAGATAGATAGATGGATGGATGGATAGAGAAACAACAACACGACGACGTTGCATTTTAAAAAAACTGGGGGTTTGTAGTTTTCTATTAAAAATAAACGTCGTTTTACCTTTTAAGGGATGTCGTCATCATGTTATTGCTTTCCGTCGTCTGCTAGCTTATAATAATAATAATAATAAAATTTGTATATAAAAATAATTAATTTTATAATTTTTATACAAATGACTATTAAGAAATTCATTCGGAACGACTTTTCTTTCTTTGTTTGTTTTTTACGACATGAACGAGGGGGAGGGGGGTTAAAAAATTTTAAAACGTCATTTAGAAAAAGAAAGAAAATTTTTCAACTCTCTCTCTCTGTCTCTTTCTCTCTCTCACTTTATTTTTAATAAAATTACTCATAATTTAACAAACAGTAATTTTTTTTTTTTGTTTTTTTTGTGAGAAAACAGAAGGGAAAATTTTCTTTTTTTTTGTAAAAAAAAAAAAAAAAAACACGTGGAAACGTGTTAGTGCCACGGTCGTTTTCATTATTTTTTTTGACACGACGATGAAGAATTTTTTTTTTTATTTGTTACTAACCAGTACCTAATAATACCTATTAAAGTTAATTTTAAACTTGTCATTTTGATTTAAAACTACGGACGGGTAAACAAAATCGGGAAAAAAAAAAACAAAAAAAAACTCGTTTCAATTTACGTATAATTTTTTTCCATCCTCCATATTTACCCCCCCCCCTTTTCCCCATTTCATTCCCTCTCCCCCTCCACTCTTCCTTTTCCCGCCATTTTAAAAAAAAAAAATTAAAAAATAAAAATCGACGATTCGATTATAATCGGGAACGAAAAAAAAAATAAAACAATTATCTTCTGCCACGTAATACATCATCCGTAACGATCGATAATAATAATAATAATAATAATAATGATTAAACGTTAAATCGTCGGTGTTTTAAATGAAAAACGCGACGAAGAGGAAGTCCAAAAAAAATGACAAATTTTTTATTCGTACGAATCCGAAGAGGCGCAACACACTAATCTGTCATAAAACTGACCTATGACAAACAACAACGACAACAACAACGACGTGAAATATTTATATATGACGATTTAACAAATTGTAATTGAGGTAACAAACAAACAAACGTCATCAAATTGAATGAACATAAATTTATGACCGGTCAATAAAATTGTATACGTACAACCAAAAACTTTTTAATAGATGTTAATAAAAACGCGGGGATCGAAGAACACACATATATATATATATACGGCCATATATGCAACGCGACGAATACATATATTACCTTTCATTTATTATTATTATTATTATCATTATTATCATCGGGGTTCCGTACCGGAAAAAAAAATAAAAAAAATACGTCGACGTTTTTTTTGTTCTTTTTTTTTTCTTTTATTCAATTTTTCGTGTATTCATAACTAACACTCCGGTAATTTTTTTTCCCTATATTCACCCACGTTTAAATAATAATAATAATGATAATGATAATAATAATAATAGGCATAATTTTTTTTATGTACGAAACGGATAAAATTCGATTCGAATGAAAAGAAGGAAAAAAGAAAGAAAGAAACGATTGTGAAATAAATAAAAAAAAAAAATTTTTTTTTTTTTTATCCAAACGACGACGACGACAACAACAACAAACAAGAACAACAAACGCGACAAAAAAGGATTTTTAACATTTAATAATATAAATATATAAATATGTGTGTGTATAAAAAATGACGAAAACAATTTTCTTATCCTCGTAATCGAAATATAAAAAAATGAACAAACGACCACCATCACCATCACGGCCACCACCATCGTCGTCGTTATAATGATTAACCATTAAAATTATGGATTATGTACATAATAATAATAATAATAATAATCGTGCGAGTGAAAACTTATTTTCCTTAATAATGTGCTATATATATATTGGCTAAT